TAGTTAATGCAGCATTGTTAAAAAACACTTTTTAAGATGAACCGTATAGCAGGGATTAATTCCACGACAAGGTACTGTCTCTCCAGTCGTGTATCCAAGCACTAACCAGCGTTATTGTACGACGATTCTGCAAAATATTAGCCGCTTGTAGATCATAAGTCGTTCTCCAACGCGATTAAACATCAAACATTTCAACGACAGCGTTTGCAGGTTTATTTCGTTTCTGATAACAATATGTGGACTCTGACGCGCCGAATCCACGATATGATTCCGATACAAGGACGACCATAGATAGGGAAGGGCTCCGGAAATTTTAACCATCTGGTGTTCCTTAACGCGTGCTGACGTAGCACAGCATACGCGGGTTTCTAAGATCCCAGGTGGTCGAAATTTCCGAAACCCCCCCTACTACGGCATCTCTCATAATCATATGGTGGTTCTGGGACGTTAAGCCTCGCATACCAATCAATCATTTAAGTTTTCAATATCAAACAGCCAAGCTGATATCGACTGCGTAATAAAATCCACTGCGACGCGACTGGAGACTTGGTAAACGTTTTCGATCCCAGATCGTCAAACTGATATCGGTTGCATAACAAGGCCGGCCAAATACGTTCGCAGCGTCACTACGCAGATCTCAAAAGGCGATGCCTTTCCTTTTTTTTTCTAATCCGGTAATACGGTTATCGATTTGTCTTCGACGCTAAGCCGACACTCGACGGAAGAATGCAAAGCAGGTCAGGTTCAGGCTAGGCGATCTCACAAACCGCCAAAGGCATTAAGCGTGACGTAAGAACTGCCGTCTGGCGTTCAAGATTTGCACATCTTCGAGCTCGCTCTCTTTTGCGTGTCGCGTAAGATAGATGCAGTCTTTCGTGTCGTCTGCTCCGCCAAACGTATTCAATTTCACCCAGCTGCGCCTGCTTCACCCGAAAGCACCGATTCCCGCTCTGTGACCGAAAGTTTACCCATGCATCCGAAAGTTACCCGTTTTACCCGACGTCATTTGCTTCGCTGAAAGTAATTCGTTTTGCCCAACGTCGTCTGCTTTGCCGAGAGTATTCAGCCTCGCTCAATGTCGCTTGTTCTTACCAAACGCCGTCTGCTTTCTGCCGACAGCAATCCGGTTTCGTCAAAGCTGCATCCTGTTGTCGTCTGCTTTGCGAAACGTATCCAGTCTTATTCAAAATCGCCTGATTTACCCAATATAGTAAAAAGCTCGTTAATTAGAACTTGGTTAAATCTATGGAATGAAACTCCCTATAATTCGAACGCGTAGGTATCGACAACACTTAATTCCAACTGGGAGGACCTGGTTTTCATCGCTGCTCGCGGAAGTCGGCCCCGAATGATCACAATGCGTTGCAAAACAAAACCAAAGTAAAAAAAAATTCTAGAGATCCAAAACAACGAAACAACAGCATTTCTCAGCACGTGAGATTCATGACACTGCGCCAGAGCTCTTGGGAAAGCTGCAAACGATGTTCATAGGGTCGTGACTGTACCGCAAGTAAATACAAATTACTGATAACTTAATTTTTTTATTGCGTTGCTTATGTCATGTAAGTAAACACGTTTTGGATCATAAATAGTACCATATATTTTGACAATATTGGCTGATTGCTCACATGTGTGCATGCCGGTGTTTTTTTTTTTTTTTTGGCGTACCATTGACTGATCGATTAATGCGTGTCCGCTGTTAGACCTCCATGAACGTGGTTCACTAAATCACCAGCCACAAACATAGTAGCACCAAAGTCGCGATGACGAATCCAGAGACGACTACACTGGGTTCTGCCGGCGCAGTTGTGGAGCGATGTCCGTTCATTCCATAGCGCCGGCTGGCTAATTAAAACTCCGCCTTTCGAACACTTCTATAGTCTTCTTTTTACTGTACCATCTAGTTCTCCTAGAGTGAACCGCCATACTTGACGTCCTTTGCATCCACGATAGCATGTCATGTTACATAAAGTCGTCTGTTTTATCTAACATTGTTTACTTCACCGCAAGCATTTCGTCTCATCTAAAGTCGCCCGACTTATATGACGTCGTTTGCTTCTCCGAATGTAATACGTTTTACCCCGTATCATCGTTTCCTTCATCGAAAGAATCTCGTCTCGCCTAAAGTCCCCCCTTTTACCTAACGTCGTCTGCTTTGAAGAAAGTGATCGTCTTTTCCTGAAGTCGCCCGTTTTACCTATACGTATCGTCGTCTGCTTCGCCGAAAGTAAAGTCTGCAAACCTTCCAACTATATCGTTCTCAGTGGCAACTTTTCTCTGTGTCCGCGCCGCATGATGGAACGAAGTACCTAAAAAAAAAATTGTTCTGTGGGCATGTGCATGCGGACATGCACTTGTCCTAAGCCTTTTTTGGAACTTAATTCAGTCATGCAGCCAAGGCACGTGTAAAATGTTGCCGCTCGTTCACGATAACGATTTGGACGACTGTACTCCGCTTTACCCAATATCGTTCCTTTGAACTAACGTCGTCAGCCTCACCAGAAGTCACCGTATCTGACGTGTCACTATCTAAATTTAACGGATGAAGCACTCACTCGTTGAACACACTGTAAAACGAATGCAGTCGCTCCAAGACTCGCTATTCAGATGTCCCAGGCATCGGAGAAAGTTCCACCCATCGCCAAACGAACGCAAAAATAGGCAGTTAAAGAAGTACCATACTGGCTCCGTTCAAATCTGCCATCGGGGACGCCAAAAATTTCGCTAGAAGCACCGTGCATAGTAAGCTCAAAATTTGATGGCTTTGAAGCGAAGATTTTTGGAAAATAAAGTGCTATTTTCTACGCAATTGAAGGGTAACATTTGAATTCCGCGTTGTGCGTAGTACTTCTGAGCACAAAATTTATTTAGTGATCACCGTGCTATGCGAGTTAATGTGAATTTTCTTATCGGTGACGAAGCGGATAACATGCGCTACCGCTACAGATTACTAAGAAAAAGACGTCTTGTTACCCCGTTCTACAGGCTGGGACTGAAATTGTCAAGTGAGAATATGCTCCGACTTTGGGCTTCAGCCACAAGAGCTTTTTTGATGCCGTTTGTGCTTACCTGTACCAAACAAAACGAACGAGATTGGAACTGGCTAGTTGTGTCTTACTAGTACAGCAAAAGCCTAACTTGAAGAAAGTTCTTTTTACTATGATTATTATTAGTATGAACTATTTTTAATCACGTTCACTTGTGGTCAAGATAATGACTATACTGTCTGGTCTGAGCGGGAGAAAACACTTAATGCACTCTTTTCGTTTTACGTAAGTTATTCTTCTAGTGAATATTCAATACTGAAAAATGTCTAACTTATGTAATCAGCTCTTGACCGATCCCCCAGAGAGGGTACGAGCCATATTTAAGGCGTCGTCATCATCATCAGCGCTACCACTGTTCGACGGGGCAGATGACACACCTATCCGCAGTTATTTTTCATCCGTAGCTTGGCGCGGTCCTCGGCGTTCCATTTTCTTTCTGGTATTTTTTTTATTCGCTTCTTTAAGTGAATGCAATTGCTGTACGTACAGTCGCTGTACTGCTGTACGGTGCCACAAGAACTGTCACACCAGCGAAGGCACCGATTTCTGCAAGTCGCACCAGGCCATTACAGGTAGTGGGTCGAGAGATACACAAGAAAAGTATACATTGTACAAGAAGTCACACCAGGATGTCATAATAACTAAAATAACGAAGTGTGGTAAATCTCGTAACCGGGAAGGGAATGGTTACAATGTACATTAAAGCAAACTAGACATCATTAGTGACAACCAAAGCAGCGATCTATTCGTAAGCCTCGTAAAGAAGGCTACAGTCTCTCTTCTCTAAATCGGTTCATAATTCTACGAATGTCCGGAAGTGCAAACAACGCAGGGCTCCACAGTTATGATCTACACCAGCATCAACTGCTACGGAAATCCGGAGCTTTATCTCAATGGGTTGTAATACTCTACGCCGACTGTACAATACCAAACGGTGATCGAACAGCACAAGATCGTGTCGAAAACGTGTCGAAAACCTCTCCTCAGTAAACGCGCACACACCCCAAAAATGAAAAAATAAAAAACTTTCGCAGCAAGCCGACGCCTACGTCAGTCAAGCGAAGTGATGCACTCCAACGGTCGCGAACAAAAAACTGCACCACAAAAACAGCTGCGAAATCGCACGGATCGCTGCGTTGGATGACGAAACGGGAATAGTACGACCACTCCTACATGGGGCTTCTGAGTATGTGACGTAGCGAGTTTGTTCAGGCAGCGGCTGCAAGAAACACGTCCTTCAATCGTTTCTTTTCCTGTCAGCTGATCATACAAAAAAAAGTGACCGCCGTCAACCAAGCCGGAAAACCTAGCCGGCATTATGATGTCAGCTGACACCTGATCTAAGGACTGCTCGGGTTTTACCCGCCTTCTATCGCAAGTAGTACGAAAGAAACTTCGGTGTGTACTACAGCCTAATAGTTAACGTGAAAGGTCGGACTCGTGGGCACTCCATTGCTGCCGCTTGCAGGCACCGAGCCTATAACCTTCGGATAGCGTGTCTGATGACGCTGCTACGTTCGGTCTCCACAAGCGGCCACTTCTCTTTTCATGCGCTTTAATTCAGTAACAGTTGCATTGTGATTGTACCTAAAGACAACAAATAATGCCACTAAATCACCATGATGGTAATGGTTACGACATTCGACTTTTGGCTCGAAGGTTGAGGGATCGCATCCCAGCCACATTTCGACGGTGGCGAAATCGCTACAGAACGCTACAGAACCGAATACAGAACCGAATATGTTTGAAAAAAACCCAAGCGGTAAAATTTCCACAGCCCTACATTACGGCGTTCCTCATAATCGTATCGCGGTTTCAGAACGTAAAAGCCTAACAATTATTAATACTGACCAAGCCGGCGATAAGAAGAGATCAGCTGACTCCCCGATGTCTGAGCGGGTTTCGCGCGCATTCTATCGCGAGTCGTACTGCATCGAGAGTTCGAAAACTCACCCTTCCGTCGATGCCGTCACAATGGCAACTTTTCCAGCGAGCTTCTTCGCGTTAGAAGCGGTCGACATCGCAGCCCTCGCTACGATCGGCGTCGAACTGGACGAAGAAATCCGAGTCAGAGTCGACAGCATGTGTACGGTACCCATGTTGCAAGCTTCGTCGACGATCGAGTCACCGCGTATCACAGAGCGTTCCGGTAGCACGACTGCACGGACACACGCCGCTGGCTGACGTTTTTCGTTGTTCCTGCCGCCAGCGGAGCAGTCACGAGACTCGTTTTTGTCAAGTTCAGTGGAGAGAAACTCGCCGCCGCTCGCTCGCCTTTATCTACTCGATACACTCGCGAAACAAACGCGTTGGATTCGCTCAAAATAAGCGTCATCGAAAAGGCTTTGCCGCTTGCAGCGCCGCTACAGTTTTGCGCGGGCAAATAATGAACTGACGAGACAGAGAAAACCTTGTTCTGGTTTTGTTTGAAAGCGTTCGTTCCTCGTTTGGAAAGGGGCAGTACATAGAGTTTCATACAATAATGCCTATAAAGGAATCTGGCACTGCAGTCGTGTACCTTCATAAAAATTATGGGAAGTACAGGCTTCGGATTGGATAAGGTTAGCTAGCAAACTGTCTACAAACTTTTTGCTACAGTTTCAGTTTCGTTCTGCGCGGGTAGCGGGGTGCTGAAAAAGGCTGAAGCAGTGTCTCTGTAGGTCGAAGCGGCTGACTACCACTAGATCTCCTAATTTGCTGCGACGTTGGAGGTTTACGAGTCGCTTTGACAGTTTAAATGAAACGTTGTCCACTCACCGCTGCGCATAGATGTAGCGTCTCATGCCAATGCAGGATATTGCCTCGAGTTCATGTTTTTCACATGCGCGTCTTGCCTGAAATCAATTTAAATGGATTGCAATGCAATGACGAAGCTAAGTAGACGCACCGTCACACTCCACTTACTCGACTTCACAACAAAACCAGGGGTGCCTTGGGGACGGACCACTGGGACAGACGCACCTAGCGTCGCAGAAGACGAAACATTAAGTGTTTCTCACTTACTACTGTACTGGTATTTCTATAAATAGATAATGTAGACTTTTGACAGAAAACAAGCATGTTGGTTTTCAAGTGTTGTAAAAAATAATTTAATAAATCTTGATGCCAAATCTAGAACGCAGTGGCAGAGTGATGCATACTCTGATGGTTGAATTTGCCAGGTTTCACTTTTGCCTGCCATCGGCCATACCATGCTGAATGCACCGGTTCTCGTCACTTTTGCCGCCCGGTCACAAAAACTTTTTTCAGTAAACTTTGCAGTCAAATATTTGAGGTAGGTTTCGTTAAAATTTAAGTTCGTGCGACTTTGTTTTACACTCGGGAAATACATGTCGCGAATCTCAATGATATAATCCATTCGAAGCAGCTCCGAAGCCTGTACTTCCCATAATTCCCATGGGGGTACAAGCGCCGCTGAAGGAGCCCGCGTAGGCACTAGCGCCACATTCTCCTCTAGGTATTATTGTATGAAACTCTATGGGGTAGTAGGTTGGTTTGGTTGCATTCTCGTACGGATCATTGCATAACAAGTGGGCCAGGTTGATTTTGACCGTCTCCGATCGTGCTGGAATAAATCACGAGTGTGAATATTCGAAGTGGTTATTGAGGCACAATATTTCACAGAAAAGAGATTTTGCCCCCCCCCCCCTCCTAGAGCGCGCTACCCGACTTAAGGCACAGGTACGCACAGTACACAACCGGTGTCACGTGGAATAATTCGAATGATATTACTGGTTGAAGTCCTTACAACGAAACAGTCTTTTTTTTAAATTTATATGCGCTGATGATTGATAACTATAGTAGTTTATTCATGTATGTTTTAAAATTTGTTAATTTTTGGCATTGACGGAATACTACGAAATGCTACGCAGAGCATTTTTTTTTTTCGCGAAAAAGCACAGACTTCTACGCGAGTTATATATTCACATTGCAGGATTTATAAGTTCATATATTAGGTCCCAGTATTGCGACAAATTCGGAGAAATTATGAAGCAATGCTTGCTCCCAAGCAAAAATATGGCTCATACATCACGGTCTAACATGTATGTACGTGTAAAATGTAAACGCTTAACCACAGCTGACGCTAATCAGACCTGACACTTGTATCGTTGGAGTAAATATGTTTATAAAATTAGATGGGCAGCCCTGGAGCCTCGAGTGACGTTTCACCGATACTACGCCTGCATGGGATCTTTCGACCAAAGCAGTTCCGGGACCTCGAGTGGCTCCGGCACGATGCTCGATTGCCACGCAAAATGCTTCGCAAGGAGAATTCTTACAGGGACCATAACATTTACTCTTAGCGTTTGTCGGGCCAACGCTGCCAATGTCGTTTTTCTTTTTAGGGGCGAAGCTCCTTAGGGCGTGGGCTGTGCGTCCCCTGTAGCCTGTATGTAGCCACCTCTAGTTTAGTTCTTGCAGTGTTCACTAGATGGCGGTACCGTCCCCTGTATGTAGCCACCTCTAGTTTAGTTCTTGCAGTGTTCACTAGATGGCGGTACCGTCTCCTGTATGTAGCCACCTCTCGTTTAGTTCTTGTAGTGTTTACTAGATGGTTGTACTTGTAGCTGATGATGAAAAGATGCAAGATGTTATAAACTAGAAAGCGGTACTTGTAGTTGATGAAAGACGCGAGATCTTATAAAATAGGAATGATGTCACATATGGCGCGTGTCATTGGTTGAAGGCAATCGTTCGATTTAGTGCAGCGACGTACGCTAGGGGGAGCGATGTAATAAAATCGAGTGGGCAAAATGTACAGAGGATTCATGGTTTACCAGGTTTACCTCCGGAGCTTCGCCCACTCATCATCATTCACTTCGTGGATATGGCGGAACTTTTTCTTCTTAACGCTTCCTCTTTTGAATTACAAATGCCTGTTCTCACTGTTCTTCATGGATATAAACTGCCAAACACCCGTGGATCATACCCGCATAGAACGGCCCAAGCTGTGCCCACACGTGTCTCGAGAAAAGGCCCACACGTGTCTGGAGATGTGCCCACACATGTGAAAAGATGTGCCCACACGTGTGAAAAGATGTGCCCACACGTGTCTGGAGAAAAGGCGTGACGTGTCGTACGCGACAGGATTTTCACATTATTCAAGTCATGACCAGATGGACAGTCGTAATCATCAAACCCTCTTAGCTTACCGCACTAAAATTGGTCTATCCTAAGTTACGGAGGTCATAATGAGAATACCCACGCGTTGGCAGATACCCAGATGCCCGTCCGCCCATCAACCCCTCCCCCCTCCCCTACACGCACTAAAGCTACGTCATCGTCATGTGACCACACAAAAAAGGAGTTCTTGGTGGGGATTTATTCACATCCCCATCGCCGCTGTAGACTAGCGCCACTACGTCATCGTTGCGAGAACACGTGGCACTTATGGTTACCTTAAAGCTTGTGCGCGGGGCTGAATTCTGCCTATGAAGTGGCCGATTCCTTAGATGACGTATGCCAGGAGCTGCGCCACGAGCGCCGCTACGGAGTATTGATCGTCTCCACAACCAGGCGAGAGAGCAATGGGATCCTTTAGGTCACATGGGACGTCGGAACCATAGAGTTTCCTAAAATTAACTAGAGGGGACTCTGGCGCTGCGATCGTTCAGCCACCATGGGAATGATAGATAACTACACACATTTGCTAGTCTTCGTACTTGCGGGCGATGACTCGTACTTGCAGCTTCATTTATTGCTGGTTATGGTTTCGTTTTGAAGGAAATATTCAACCCTTTTGAACTTCGTGATCTGATTGGACATGGTAAGCTTAAAAAAATATGGTAGCGAAGCGCAACCGCTGAACTTTTGTTGATTTTTGTTTCGTGAGAAAACAGCTCCAAGCCACACGAACACACACGGAGCCAGAAGCAGGCCAGAAGTACGAAGATTAGACAAATGTGTGTACTACCGATCATTCCCATGCTCGCTGAAGCGCCGTGCTAGGGACCATAGCCGTGCGTTGCAGCTCCGGTAGACCCTAGCGCCAGAGTTTCCTCTAGTGCATATTAGGAAACTCTGTGGTCAGAACAAACCACCACGCGCCGGCGCGGCGCTCCATGAGCGACAGCAAACTGCGGTTGCGTCAGGCAGCTGAAGCGGGGACCTGCGTATAGGGAGCCCCGGAGCTGCTTGCTGTCGCGCCGCAGAATTCGTTGCGCCCACGAAGCGCGGCGGTCCGTATAGTGCGCGCCTCATGCCCACCAGCCTGTGCCGCACAGTGCGCAGGTCCAGGGAGCCTTCGTGTGCGCGTGGCGCAACTAGCCATGAGCAGTCACTTTACGACCAGTCGCAAACGGTCGTGCGACAAGTGCTAGTCGCCGGTGTGAACCATGCCTTTAATATTTTACTGTTCGATACGGATAGGAGCAAGAGAGCATGAAGATGTGTTCTATACCTTCCTACGAGAGTGTGGGTATCTCGTGCGTTGGGTAAGATTAAAATATGGCCGGCGTGGCTCTCGGTCTGGGCACCTTGCGCTTTTACCTTGACGTCGTCGTGCCTGACGTGAACGCAGTGAGATGAGCGAGTTCTTAGTTACCGGTCTGCACCACGCCACATAACTAGTCTTAGTCAAGCACTCACTCATAGAACCAACGCAACCAAAATTGTAGGCCGCTTTGCGAATTCCAAAGCGTTTGGCGAAGGCCTGTGTCCATTGAGAAAGAGGTCTGTCGGAATGGAACGCGATGCCCACGTCTCTCTTCCTGCATAAGTGGGCGGACTGTGGCCGGGTTCGGGGGAAACGGGTGCAGGTCGGTGCCGTCCGACCAACTCGACTGCTGCAACCGGAGGTCTGACGAAGGAAGTTGCAAATCTCGGCTGACGTGATTGTGAACACCTCATGTATGCATTGCGCTCGTCAGCTCGAACTTCTTAAGCCTAGTGAGGGTTCATTTGAAATCACCGCTCAAGCATTTCGTACAGATCTATTACAACAGGGTCAAGATGATTAACCAGTGACGCTCAAACATGCGGAAGGGCCGAGCGAGCTTTGCAGAAAGAAGGCCGCGTGTTTTTGCGCTCCCGTCCTTACCCTTATCCTTGCTCCGCGCTTTTCGCGCGCAGCCCTTTGAAGGGCTACAAATGGCGCCTCAGAGAGGCAACAGAGGCAACCCATTGAGTTTCTCACAAATACCTAGAGCGAAGTGTGGCGCTACCTTCTACGAGAAGTTTTTAGGAGGCGATGATGGAGCGCTGGGAATGACAGTAAATGTGTCTGCGAGGCTTGTGTTGGCTGGTGTTGAGCGAGGCTTCGGCTCACAAGCAAATACGCCTGCGTAAATAAAGCTTCTCTAAAA